AGAATATTGCACATGGTGATACTGTTGGTTCCCATTGGCATACGGGGCCGCGCCGTACTGAGGGTGTATGTTCTGGTGTACATGTTGCTGGTATTGTGGGTGCTGGGAGTTTGGGTGCTGCGGATGCCGGGAATACTGGGGATGCTGCGGTTGCTGCTGCTGGCCCTGCCCGCCGTAGCCAGGACCCGGGGGCATCGTGCCTCGATATGTCATTGCATTTGCCAGTCGATGGCAACGACGAGCCCTTTACCCGCGATTGTGACGCTCTTGGGTTGGCGCGAACATGAACTTTACAACGACAAATTGGTGCGCGCGCTGCTGCATCGACAGTCTGGTGCTGGCTGCTCACGGGACGGGAGTGATGCAGGTCACAACCTTGACGCGCTCCAGGTTGCCAATGTGGCAGCCACTGAACGGTTCAGCAGGGGGCCTGTGGCGGTGCACGGCGGAGAAACGACATGATTTTTCTTGTAGGAATGGGCATTTTGCCCGCGTCAAACATGCGTCTACACAAGAAATACATTAGACTCGGCACCCGCCACAGGTTTTGTCTTTCGTTCTTTCGCCCCACTCTCCAAGACACCAAGTGCCTCGGCATCCACCGCAAGATTGCCGAGGACACCATTGGACAAAGTCGCCGCCGCCATCACTTTCTGGTCCAGCTCCGGGTTGCAAAGGGAACCCTGCAATGTACATAAATCAATGAAGTGATTGTTTCCCGCTCCCTGCCCTTCTTCAGACCATCTCGCTTCCATTTTGTCTTCTTGCGGTCGTTTCACCGACCCCGCACCGCCGGTGAAATAAGTTGAGATCCGAAACTGATACCTCGCAACAGAGCATTCCGAGACTCCCGTCTGTCCAAGTAAACATCAGTGTAAGCCGCGCCTGTCTCCAACGGTGGCCTGTCTGGTTCCTTTTCTGATACCAGACAGCAATTGACTGCCCCAGCAAGCCATGGACTGGTTCGGCCGTGCCCGAATCTCCTTCACTCATGCAAAGTCGCCAGTGACCTTGAAGAAAAAAGATGGCACTGTGACCGACTTGCTTGAAATCTGCAAGAAGGCAACTCCCCCGTGCCAGCTCAACCCCCTGCTCTTCAATGGCCACCTTCAGACCATGTACACGGCGGTGAAGACGGAGGGGCCACCGATTTACTATCGAAGAAAAATCTTTGACGCAAACCACAAAACGTACCATGGCACATTCGCTGTTGACTTCGCAGTGGATAAGCACGAGGATGTGGATGAAACGCTACCCCCACGGACAGCCTACTTCTCAGAAGAGGGCTTCTCCAAAATCGCATCGGATGACAGTCGCCCGATGCTGATTGTGCTCCATGGACTTTCCGGCGGTTCTTACGAGGAGTATCTCCGACATGCTATTGCACCCCTCGTCCTGGGCGATGGAGACTGGGAAGTGTGTGTGGTCAACGCTCGCGGTTGTGCCAACAGTGAGGTGACAAGTGGGGTTCTGTTCAACGCCAGGGCAACTTGGGATGTTCGACAGGTCCGCCACCCCTTCACACCTACTGAGCATCTGTGGGTCATATGCTGATTGTCTCATTAGATTATTAACTGGGCAAAAGGGACCTTCCCAAACAGGCCCCTTTTTGCTCTGGGGTTCTCTCTTGGCGCCAACATCCTAACAAATGTAAGCCCAGAGCCGCTCATCATTTTGGCCTCTATGACTGATGACTTTCTAGTATGTGGGAGAAGAGGGCGCCAACTGTCCCTTGAAGGCAGCAGTCTCTGTTGGCAACCCCTTTGACCTGGAGATATCCAATAAGGCGCTTACTAGGTCTATGATTGGGCATCATGTTTACCAAAGGGTTATGGGGAGTAAGTACTAGGCCATTCATCCAACTCCTCTAGGTTCATCAATACTAATTTTCCCCAGCAAACATGAAAAAGCTCATCGCGAACCATAGGGATGCCGTTGAGAAGTACACCAAGCTTGACTACGATCAAATTCAACGCATTACACGCCTCCATGAGTTTGACCGGGAGGTGCAGTAAGTCCTACTCATCACGACATATTCCGTCACGGAAGTGCTGACAACTGCCGTAGGACTGTAACATGGGGCTATCCCACCGAGACAGCCTACTACCGCGATGCCTCCTCGTGCGACGCCCTCTTAGCCATCAAGATCCCATTCCTCGCCATTGCGGCAGAAGATGACCCGGTATGTGGCCTCATTTGTCAAACCCGAATCCTACGCTAACACACAACAGATCGCCGTCCATGAAGCCATTCCATACCAAGAATTCAAGCTCAACCCTTACACGGTTCTCTGCACATCGTCGTTAGGAGGACACCTCTCCTGGTTTGAGATTGGAGGGGGTCGTTGGCATGCTCGTCCAGTGAGTATTGTCTTCGCAACACTTTCACTGGGCTAACTAACCGTGTGATAGATCTGCAATTTTTTGAACAGCATGGTATCGGAAATCGATCTTGATGCCATCAAGCCCATGGTGAATGGGAAAGAGGCAGACGTCGAGATGAAGACGCATTTCGATCCCCTGAGGAGGAAGCTGTTGATTCTCAGTGATAGCGAGTAGGGCTGCGAATGATTTTCAACATACTCGTAATGAGGTGTCGATATCCCTGAATTGCGTTGAGCGAAGGCGAGCAACTAGATAGAAGACGCTTATCATAATGTAATATAGACCTATACACTTGGATCTCCATGGACGCGAGGGCTTTGATAAGCATGGTTATTTTGTACACGATGCTCTTTAAGTTGTTTTGTGCCTGTCATCGGTAAATCGACGTATATTGCTAGCTCCATCTCAGTCTCAGTGCCAGGCACGACATCCGATCGTGACCTCGTGGTATCTCGTTTTCTCTTCGCCATACCGACCTCCCTGCGCCCCAAGTCAAACGCCATACGCCATGCAGATGAACAGTACCATATAACCCAAAAGATGCTTCAGGCCATTGCCGCTACTCAGGGGCAAACGATACCCTCTTCTTCTTTGGCTTGGCAGCCTTGGTTCCCTCCGCTGCAAGAGACGCCTTGAAGCCGTTGACGTCGTCATCCTCGTTTTTTCCACCCTTTCTCTTCCTCTTCTTGCGGATCGAGTCTTTTGTCTCCTCGAGTTTCGCCTTGCGCTCATCCTCCTTAGCTTCGGCTTCCGCCCGTCGTGCCTCGCGGATCTCCTCCATTTGCCGTGCCTTGATCATCTTGGACTCGATTTGGCCTTCCTTCTCTGCTTGGACGAGCGCGAGGATGGTTGTCATGCTCTCCTGTTAAAATGTTAACAGTGAAGGTGGATGCAGTGAAAAAAAATGGGAACGCACCCGATCATCGACAAACACCTTGCCCTTCTTCTTGCCCTTCGGCTTCGTCACGCCAACCGGGGTAATCTTGTTCAGCTCCGGAATGCCGAGCTCCTTCTCCGTGTACACCCGCTTCTTGCGCTTCTTCAGGATGTCGGCAATGTTAGGCCGGCCCTTGATTCCCCTCCCTGGCTGCGGCCCCTTGGGCTGGTTCTTCTTTGCCTTGATGACGCCGTCGCTTTGGGGCCCGTTCTTCGACGCCTTGCTGCCCTTGATGCCGCTCCCGTTGGCGGCATGCTTGTTTTTTATCGTCCGTGTTGTACCCATTGTGAATGATCGATTGTTGTGGAACCGAGACTTCGTTTCGCGGCTGGCTGGAGCTTTCTGCGCATCGAGGGTCAAAAAATTTGGCCCAGAATTCGTTATCGTTATCGAGGGGACCAGTGGTGGGGTCCTCTACCAGGGGTTGGGGTGGCTGGGCGGGCAGGCGGCCGGCAGCACGGTCGCTAGCGCGGGGCAGCGGTTTATCGCCTCCGATAACCGCTCCACTAAATTTCTTGATCGTTACTCGAAGACAGCACTCGCCGCCATTGAACCAGACTCGCTGTCATACAGGGCCCCGAGACATCCTGCCGAGCACCGGATCACACAGAAGAAACGCTCCAATGACTTCGACGAACGCGCCCCGCTGGGCCGCCTTTGCGCGCGACACGAACGAGACCAAGATCCAGCTCGCGCTCAACCTCGATGGCGGGGCATTCCCCCCCGAGACCGACAGCCGTCTCATCGGCGCTGACGGCCATGCTACGCAGGCGAGCAAGTCGCAGACTATCAGCATCAACACAGGCATTGGCTTCCTAGACCACATGCTCCACGCCCTCTCGAAGCATGCCGGCTGGAGTTTGGCCCTCGCCTGCAAGGGCGACTTGCACAGTGAGTAGCCCCCGACTCTCCACGAGGTTCAAAGCTGACCGCGCCGGTTGTAACAGTCGACGACCACCACACCGCCGAAGACGTCTGCATTGCCCTTGGCTACGCCTTCGCGCAGGCGCTCGGCACCCCGACGGGCCTCGCTCGCTTCGGCTACGCATACTGCCCTCTCGACGAGGCCCTGAGCCGCGCGGTCGTGGATCTCTCGAACCGACCCTACAGCGTCGTCGACATGGGCTTGAAGCGGGAAAAGATTGGCGATCTCAGCACTGAGATGATCCCCCACTGCTTCCAGAGCTTCGCCCAGGCGGCGCGGATTACCCTCCACGTGGATGTTATTCGTGGTGACAACGACCACCACAGGGCCGAGAGCGCGTTCAAGGCCGCGGCTGTGGCGATACGGCAGGCTACGAGCAGGGTTGCAGGCAGGGAAGGGGAGGTGCCTAGCACCAAGGGCACGTTGAGCGTTTGATTTGGTGGTTTAGGCGAGGCAGAGCAAAGCATAGAGACGGTGTCTAGCATTTGGAAAAGCATATTCGATAAAATAATACCATCTCCTGAATCTTCAGGCCATTTTCAGACATCAAACGGGCAATATCTCTTCCAGCTCGTTCACGACCAAATCTATGACTTGGAATTCGTGACCAGGAACCCCAGCCAAGCCTCACAGACACTGTGGACCACCCCCCTCAAAACCTCACTTGAATAAGCACCACCGCAGCAGATTCTGCTGTCACCCGTGGAGCAACTTCCTAAGCGACTCCCAGGCACTCCATTTCAACAACCAGCAATCGGGTATGGTGTAGTGGCTAACATCGCTGACTCTCAATGTTTGAGATCTCAGCAGCCCGGGGTTCGATTCCCCGTTCCCGAGTTCCGGACACCCCAAACTACGGCGGATGCTTCAAACATCCGCACTTCTTCCGTAGTATAGTGGTCAGTATGTGAGCTTGTCATCTCCTTCTGGAGATCTCATCGCTCGAGACCCGGGTTCAATTCCCGGCGGGAGAGACATGGGGGTGTCCTTCCTTTTTGGAGGTGGAGGAGGGAGGTGAAGGGTTTTTGGGGAAAGAGGTGGTGAGATTTTGCGGTGATGTAGGTGGTGTTGACGGTGTAAAAAAAATGTTGAAGTCATTTTGTTTTTGCGCTTCGGGATTGAAACCCCTGAGTAAAAGTCGAAATGGGGGATTCATCTTCGGCTCGAGACAAATCGATTGTCATGCGTGATGTCCTCCCGTGAGGCGTTAAAGAGAGAGACACCCATATGGCCCATCCCCTGCAAAAAAAAACCAAGAAGAAAGACACCCTCCAAAACCGTAGCAAAAATACGAAAAGAACCTCAAACCTAAACCTCCCAATCACGCTAAACCTTGCATCTGCAAGTCATCCAGGAACACCGAACCCGGTGGTTCGGGCCCGGGGATAGAGTTGCGATCGTACGTTGCGCTCGAACCCCACCTGGGGAAGCTCTGAAAGAAACCGTTCTTCTCAAAAACCGCTTTTTACGACCCTATGACGCAACACGGACACGACAACTTATAAGCCAACCCGGTGCCGTGTCAATTGAGAGGGGCCTGAATCCCAATTGCGGATTGAAGTCGATGGATTTGTCTGTGTGAAGGAAGCTCACGAACGAAGCGAGTGGATTGAACTGGGCATCGAGTCAGAGGCGCCTCATTTCATCGCATCTCGATTCAACAAGCTTGAGATTGAACGAACAGCCTGAGCGAGGCATGCGCTCCGCTGCAACGCAATAAAACACACACACGGACGGACAAACAGAGGGGCAGACAGACACGATGCGCTCCCATGACATGACCAAACACGCCGAGGCGACCGAGGCCTCATGGGAAGCCGCACGGGGCGCAACCTACGGCGCCGCCAAGTGGGGGATTGCAACGGCGATACTCGGAGGTGTTGGATACGCATTGTCGCCGATATATAGGGGGTTAACGGTGCAGTTCAAAGTGTAGGTTTTCCCTCGGATTTTTACTGTTTGCTGGTATCTGATTTGAGGGCAGATACATCCAGATGTCAGGGATGGTGCTGGGGAGTATGATCGAGGCGGATTCGAGGCTGCGCGAGTACGAGGCGAGCATGCGGATGCGCCGGAGGTTGATGAGGGAGCAGGCGATGTGGCAGAGTTTCGAGGAGAAGTACGGGAAGGAGGAGGATGATGACTGATGGGTTGAGCATGTTGCATTGTTTGGGTTGCGAAAGGCCGCATTATTTTGTAATATTTTTGAGGAGCAGCGGATATCAAGAGTAGATAGCAGCTCATCTGTTGGCGCTGGTGGTGCGCTTGTACATAATGTAACACCATCTCGACTTTAGATGCCACCAATGCCGCTTGTTCATGGCACGGCCTATTCCCAACAACGCATTTGCGTCTGCACACCAGTGCTGCCCCATGGGTATCTCTTCTCTGTTTTGTTTACCACTGTCCCAAAGCCATCCTTCATTTCTTGGGTAGCTCGAACTTCTTCGGGTCCATGTTGAGCTTACACAGACGGACAACACAGCCGCTCAGCTGCAGAAGCGTCTGTACGCCCTCGAGAATCTTCATGTGCGTGAAGCCGATGATCTTGATGAACTCAAGCTTGGAGTGCTCGCTCAGGGTTGGGATCGTTTTGGTCACCTTGAACATTGTGCTGATAATGTCGTGGCTCGAATATCCCAAGTTCCAGAGCTCGCGCAGTGTGTCGAGCGCCGAGTCGACATTGCCCTCATAGCAAGCCTTGAGCATTGCCTGGACCTTGATGGGGTGTGGGGAGTCAACGACCTTGAAGACGTTGTCTCCCGACACAAGCCCGAAACCGGCCGCGGTCGACTGCAGGTTGTTGATTGCCTGCCGCATATCTCCCTCCGCGCTGAAGACGAGCGCGGCAAGTCCATCGTCGCTGTACTCGACCTTCTCGGCCTCGATGATCTGAAGCAGGCGCTTCACGACCTGAGCATCGGTCAACTTGGCGTAGCGTAGAATGGCACATCGGGACTGCAGGGGCTCGATGATCTTGTTGGACTGGTTGCAGGCGAAGGCAAATCGTGTTGTGTTAGAATAGATTTCCATCGTCCGGCGTAGCGCCTGCTGGGCGCCGGATGTCATGCTGTCGGCCTCATCAAGAATGACGAGCTTGTGTCGCCCTGGAGGGAGGGTAACCTTTTTCTGTGCAAAGCCCTTGATTCTCTGTCGGACAACCTCAATTCCTGTTTTGCGAGACCATGGTCAGCAGCTGTGGGCAACCTGGGCTGAAGACAGGGGAGCGATGTACCTCGCTCGTCACTGGCATTCAGTTCCAAGACTGCCTCCTTATACGAGTCTCCTAATAATTGTCTTGCGAGGCAGAGGACACTTGTGGTTTTTCCGATACCGGGCATGCCCGAGATAATGACGTGCGGCATGTTGCCATCCTTCGCGATGATTTTCAGTCGCTCGATCGTCTCTGTGTTGCCAACCACGTCGTCCAGGAATACAGGTCTGTACTTTTCCACCCTACAAGCAGTCATATATCAGCGAGGTGCTCAAGCTACCCAATTAGTTCTGTGCTGCATACCATGGTAGCTCGTATGTGGCCGTCCCGTTTGCGCTGGAGACTGCCTTGGCAGCCGAATTGGAGGACTCGCCATTCGATTCCGGTTTCGCTTTTGGGGCCGGCATCGTGAAGATCTCTGGTGGTACCAATCTGATAGAAATAGAAGTATCGCAGAAATCAAGCCCGTCTGCGGTGTTCGTGGGAACGCTGTGTCGTCGGCGATGGAAGTGTTGCAGCAAAAGCTTGGAGGGGCACGACGCGAGACGCGTTGGGGTTGGAGGTCGCGTTCCAGTAAAGTGGTTTCTGAGCTGACTTTTGACCCTAACCCTGGAACATCCCATGGAACTTTGGAAGCGAGTGGGAGCGTCGACTGGCGCTCTTCGCGATTTCAGTCGGAAAAGGAAGTGGCCTGATGTCTCGAACAAGCGCAACGGATTCTTTCATCACCTCTGGGCTGATCTTTTACTTGCATCTCAGCTCCTTATGCTGCATTGCTCTCAGACGGAGAAAGAGCAAGCTATTCTGACCGCGGCTGGCTGTGCTCCCGTCATCTCTAGGGCACTCTCCTAACCTTCGTTCCTTGAGTATTCCTACGAGATATCATACTATCAGTCACTCAATTTTTACAATTGTTGCTCGACCTGCGCCTAAAAGCCGATCGTTTTCTGACCATCTCGAAGTGTGGCTCTGACATCGATGCCAGCTTAGACGCCACGGCGTCTGGGCTGTGGCTTGCCCCACCGCCGCGACCTTAGCGTCTTGGCATTTGGTTGCCGGGAGAACCTGTAAAAACAAGGGCCTCTCAGACTTCACAATCGCGCTACACCAATTGGGGAGAAGAGCATAATAATCGTGCTCGGAAAGAGCCGCCACAACGTCGCCGCCAAACTCATCTGCGCCCGGAGCTTTGCTCCTCTCCTCGTGTTTCCTGCTCCACCACGTGTTACTCCCTCGCATGCGCGCCTTCACAATGGAGAGCAGATCCGAAAACATGACGGTATGTGTGTTTTGTGTTGTGATGCATCCGACCCACGCTGTCGTCGCTTCCAAAGCTCGAAACCCAAACTGACTTTCGCTCCCCCCGCCAGAAACATTCGGGACTCCGTCCGCCCAGTCAATATCCTGTCGCATCGGCTCCGACAATGGGACTTCAGGAGATGACCGACTCGGAGAGCAATGCGCGAGCCCGCGCCATGCTTCCCGCACAGGGAACGAAGCGCGCATTCGCAGGAAACGGTATGCCCTCGCCCTCGCCCTCGCCCTCGATATTCGCCCCATTCCATGGACATGTCGCTGACTTGCTGGTCCCTTGTAGCCGTACAACCCGAACCGAAGCGGAAGACACTCGTTGAGCGGGGAGGAGAACCCATTGGAGCAGTAGCAGGAGCAGGAGCAGGAGCAAAGTCCATCATTCCTACACTAACAGCTACGGCATCGTCTGTTGCGCGACCACTTGTCAAAGGGTCTTCTATAGCAAGCTTGACTACATCCAACGTGGGTCCTCCATCATTTTGAGGACGCTTCAGCAGACAACTAACGTTCCTTTCCAGGGCAAGGTTCCCACAATCGTAGCGTCCTCTTCACGATATGCTCCCACATCCTCGCGACCGCCCGTTACGAACTTCTCACAAACCCTCGGACCAGGGACTCGTCCACCCTCTGCAGTTGCACGACCAGGAACCTCGATGGGACAATCCTCACATGTCCGTCAACGAGCAGGCACACGCTCACGACCTGCGACCGCTATGGGTGACCGTGGAATGGAGGTCGAGGTGGGACAGGGTCAACAGCAGCCCAATGGTACGAATTTCTCATCTTCTAGGTCTTCTTTTAGGTCCAATCTCCAGAGACGTGTCGTCCGTGGAGCCGTTTCTTTAGAGTCTCTTCATTCGTACGCCCAGCGGCCAAGAGATGTGTCCAATCTCACCAAGTACATGAGTAAATTGTCTCTTGGCGATACGGCAACGAAGCCTTCAGGTGGCGGTCAAGTGGCCGCCAAACAAGAAAGACAGGCCGAATATCGCCAGCGTCTAGTAGTCGCCAAGACAGCAGCTGTTATCAGTCGTCCAGACGGAACAGAGCAAGGAGAGCAAGCGGCTGGGCAGTACATGAAGCCTGCACACCCGGCCTGGCCAAAGACACCAAGCCGTGAGAAGGATGGCGATGTTCCTCGGCCAACACCATTCCTCGACAAGAAGATCGAGGCTGAGGTACAGAAGCTCGGGACAGCTATCCAGAGCGCTAAAAGGGCCCAACTTTCACCCATGAAATCCCCATCTCCTACAAAATTGTCCTTTCTTACCAAAGACTCCAATTTAACATCATTCGCAGCTTGGGATGT